ACTTCCTCATTGGAAGTCACGAAAAAGCGGCTCTGAAGAAGGCGATACTGCCGAAACGTCAGCTAGCGTTGAATTGTATTGTGTTTTTCTATGGAAGTAAATGTATGCTGTTTAAAACCTCGCGATAGCTGAACAAGAAAACGGCGCATTCATATTCCAATGCCGAGGTTAAGAGAAAGTCGATCCTGGGAACCAGAATTTTATTTGAAGCCACCGTATTGTTTACAAGGTAAATTTTCACAAATGGGTAATAAAACCTTTTAAGCAAAGGATACGGAAGTAGAGATACAAAAGTGTCCTACCCTCACGTAAAATCGATTACGTGAACACAACGTGTTTTTCTCGAATCTTTAATCGAAAAGTGAAGGCATGTGGAAAAATCTGACAAAAGAAATGAAAAACGGGAGATGTAGGAAAAGTACACACCATAAAAAATTCGACTAATTACATTTGTAATGAAGAAAATGTGGAGGTTTCTAGACAACAGTTCTATCCATGTGTCATTCTTTCTAAAGCATCTTATGATAACTCTTCACTTCAAAATAACTTCCATTCTCCCATGGATTTGCAGGTTTTTTTCTCACATCTGGCCTTAGAAACCCGTAGGGAAATTAAGACTGGAACATCATGACACGATTTGTAGTAGAAATGCTCCACAAGAAGTAAAGAATTCAAATAGAATGACCTTCGACCTTTCAGGTAATATAAATGATTTCTAGTAAACTTCTAACTAAAGTTCTATATGACGTTGTTAATAGAATCTACATATGTTCTATATGACGTTGTTAATAGAATCTACTAAAAATGAGAGTTAGGTCTCGACTGAATGTATGGTCGAATATTCGGTAAGGATTCGAAACGGCTACAGTATGCTTTTAGATTCGGGAAATGCGCCAAGTAGAAACTGTCATAACAACTCTGGCACCGTGTCAACATCTCGATCAACGCGATGTCGGCCCAGGAAATCTGAATCGTTAACGATAAGGATGGCAAAATAACAACAATGGGAATATGTTAATGACAGTAATAACGACAACAATAATAATAATGGCAATAATATTGACAGTCTATCTCTCTCTTGTGAGAGATCTCGAGTAGGTTAGTGTGAACTAACATGGCGTTTCCTGCGACGAGAGAAAAGTTGAACCAAATATAGGGACACGGCACGATTCAGGGAATGACTCGGTGATAATCGATTATTTCAAAAAACGGGTTTCCTTAAACTTCGATATGACTAATCGAAACCTATTTTCCCATTGATAAGATAGCACGAAGTTGGTGGAAAAAAAATTTTATTCGGTTAGAGTTTCAGAGCCTTAGCCTTCAAAAATCGATTCGGATTAATCTGGCTCTGAAGAAGGCGAACGTGTCGAAACGTTAGCCGGAGAAAGTTTCTCATCAACCTCATGCTAGTTTATTAATGGAAAAGCATGGCGAATCAATTTACATTGTGTTTCATGTACACATGCATATATTAGACGGGTAGGTCGCATTAGTTGGGAGTTCTTGCTATACACACATCGCTGTGGTTTTGATCATGCGCCACGTCTTCACCAAGATCACCACCGCCGCAGGGTCCATAAATTGGTGTCGAATTTGTCTGACTAGATAGAAATCTGACTGACGTGATACATCAGTAGACCTGTGTGAGTCGTTGTATAGGCCAAGTGTGCATTAAATCACCTCTACAATTCCTAACAGAGTAGCAAGAACTGTCCACCTCTAGAAGATTGATCAATATCAAATTACGAGCGTGCGTGTCTTCTGGATGCTTGTGGTTGGTGCCCTTAACACCGATTTGATACAAAGGTTGATCGGAAGATCACAATGGACAACGTTGTAGCTTTCTTTCCGTGAACGTGAGTCTCCGGAACGGGTAATCGTGTGTTCGGAACCAACCTGAAGTTGCTGGTTTTGAACATATTTCAACGTCCCTTTGGTTTTATTTCACAAAAAAATGTTTGGAGTCGCCTCCAAAAGACAATTTTTCGTCTACTACGAAGGAATTCAATGGACTACCTGCCCATCGGTGCACCCACCGCCTACGGTTTAGCGTAATAAGTTACCTATGAGTACCCTTCTGGTAAAATAGTTCAAACAAAGGGTTCCATAGAAAGATAAATATTACATATCGTATTTCCTTAGAGAGCGGAACTAGTTTAGCAACTATGACTAGACATGAATAGCTGGAAGGAACGAATTCCCAGAGGTCACGCGGAACCTAACCCTGTATCTTCGCACCAATTTCTGATGTGAGGTTGTGCGGTCATCAACCATATGCGACTATAATCAGCTGATCTAATCTTCCTCATTGGAAGTTACGTAAAAAGCGGAGAGTTTTTGCAGGAGCTGTTGATTATGTGATTACCACAGAGTTTTTCGCCCTTTTTTGGTATGTGTTATTGGCCTGGTAAATTGCATATCCCTTCTTTATACTCCTCCAGGCTCTGAAGAAGGCGATACTGCCGAAACGTCAGCTACTGTCGTATTGCGTGTTTTTTTTTGTAAATGTATGCCTCGCGATTGCTGAACAAGAAAACGACACATTTATTCTGAGGTGAACAGAAAGTCTACCCTGTGATCTGACCAGACACAGAGCTGAATAGATATTTTCCAGCGACCTTGTGGAATCAGTTGATGGTGAACGGACGCGCAGACGATAGAGGTGAAGTGGAAAGCATGCGGATACGAAAACATTAGCGAAACGGGTAGGCCAATCTGCCCCCACATAAAAGAGTATCTAGGTGGAAAACTTACAATGGGAACAAAACATTCTCCTAGGCACCCATAAGGCAGAAGATATTACGGAAACGATTTCGAAGGAAACCCAGTTTGTCTGCTCAGGAAACTGAAACATCTGGACGAACAACTTTTGAAGGGTTTTGCAAAAGTTCCGAAAATCCGAATGTGAACTGCATGGAAGACTGTCTTGTGATCACACATGACCTCGCGCCATACTTCAGGTTGATTCTCCGAGCTGAGCCAGAGACATTCTTCGCCTATGTAAAACTCTGTGCGGCTGTTCTCCACCAATTAACTGGAACACTTGCAACTAATAAAACGGTGGGTATTTAAAAGTAGCTGTTTACTGTGCGAATGAATACTTGTGTTTAGTAAGACGAAGACGTTGAAACATTAACCGAATAAACCTTTTCATCAACCTCATGATAACTTAACCCAAGAAGGTAACGACTTATGCATCAAATTTTTTGCCGAGGTTTTATAGCGTTTGACTGAGTAGATTGCGTATCAACTTGGCCTTTCTAGGCTCTGAAGAAGGCGAAACCGCCGAAACATCAGCCAATATTACAGCGAATAAATCTTGTTGTTAAGAATCTCGTGTCTGCTCATCAAGAAAACAGTAAACGTAATGAAAATCTGCTCAGAATATCAGAATAGAAGTGTTAAAATAATGTACCCGTGTTCCGACAAGAAACAATTTATCGGTCAACGCTGTTTCATAGGATGTCAGCCGTGGGAAAAACATGCGACTCTTGAATTCGTTCCAAATATCTCGCTGAAACACGGTAGAATTTCTTGAAGAACTCAATACAGCAACAGTATGAGCTTCACAGTCAGCATGTTTCATCAAAACATTCATGAAAAAAAACATCACGAAAAGAGAACTGATACCCTCTCTTCGTAGTTTTTTGTAAGTGTGGCACGAATTATTGGTGTAAGACCGGTGTGTAGTTCATCTAAAGTGTGGATCACGTCATCAATTGCCTTTTGCTCATCGGCATTGGTACCATACAGCCCTGAAAAGTGGGCACGCCAACTTTCAATAGTAGACATAGAAAAATGAAAAAATCTGCAGCATTATTCTCATCATTCTCACATAGAATTGCTTCGATCAGTGTTTGAACAATGGAAATAATCTCTGTTCTGGTTATGGTTACCGATTCTGTCTTTCTGAAATTCTTGCGAAGTCCATCCGTAACACTGTGGAGCTGATCTGCGCATATTAATACAATGAATTCTATAGGCCTGCCGATGGACCAAATCTGACAAGAATTTTCCGACTTTGGAAGAATCCAGGGCTTGGTTGCGCGAATCATAGGATCGAACTATATGAAAGGATACATGTAAGAACTGTACTATACTTACCACCTCTAGCTCACTTTATGACGATTAAGTCCTTATACACGACGCGGTAATCACATGTTATTAGCTAGAATCCTATCACTTTCCGCGTTCCATTCTTCCCCTTGAATCCACATTCCACGAAGACATTCGGACTTTGTGTTTACCTTAGCTTATGTTTGTTTGACAACCTTGTTAGTGTAAATAAATATTTTTTCATCAACGAACGTCTTCCGATTTGTGCGCCGGCTAATCGTTTAGGGTAAGTGGACTTCATCATGAACGTCATTGAATACTGGTCGAGTGACTCTCTCGGAAGTCGTACTAGTGCGCGCCAAGTTCTTCACAGCGAGCATGCAATATCTTTTTTGGATTGGAGAGAGCCATATGTTTCTAGACGAGTCTCATGCCAACTTCTTGAGGCCGGAGGGATGGAAAACTTGGTGGTCACGGAGCCGCGTCGATCCACCTCCCTTCTAGCGCCGATTGTCATCGCAACTACTACGCAACCGATACCCATAAACAAATAAATAAGGCATTTGTATATGTTGGCTTTCCATGAATATATCGAAAAAATATCGAATGGCGCAGTCTCCGATGACACCCTTGTGGTTGCTTTAGTACCGGAAATGAGAAGGTTTAATCGTTCAATGTGAAAAATGTGGTTCTGTTCCTATCCGTCGAGCAACCCCAGTGCACTTTATGGTCTTACACGAATTACGACAATCTTACTAGTGTCTTCCTTCGGGATCACTTATTAGTAAAGAGACCACTGAGACCGAAGTGATACAGGTAAATTTTCTGATTCATCACATTCTATTATTGATATGAGACCAGCAAGTAGTCAACAGATTTTCTACTGGTCATCTAACCAGGAATAAAATACAATGTCGATGTTGAGATATTTGCAAAACTCCGAACCACAGATGCCTGCTATGCGGAACGAACGTGGTATTACTCTTTTCAGCGGCTAACGCATTCGCCACCACACCATGCGAGTGCATCGTTTCGATTGTCTCTCAGTTTTGCAAATATCTCAGCACCATTGTGGTTGCATTTCGCATAATACTCTACAATAAAAATTGTAGTAGGCAGTAAATAAAAAGTTAATACAATGAGGATGAATGGCAAAAATGATATATAGTAATAATATTATGATATTCGGCTTTTACATCGTTCTTGAGCGGTCGGTTACTTTTACATTCCCACTTTCGTTTCTGGTTTCGGTTTTAACATCTCTCCGAGTCAACTAGTAGGAAGACCGAGTGAAGGATTCGTCGCCTTCTTTAGGCTCTTCGTGAAGAGCTCTGACTATCGAGCCGGTGGTCTTTTTGCAGCAAGTTTGACATCCCGAGGAATCCAGACACTGACGGCTCTTTTCCATCGGCTGTCATTCATACGCATTGCGTGTCCGGCCCACCTTATCTTCGACTGTTTGGCGTACAGAACGGCACCTTTGATTTTTAATCGTTGATGCAGATCGGAGCTTCGAGTCCCGTCCCATACTTGTGTGGAACGGGATACTCCTAGCATCGTCCTTTCGACTGTGCGTTCGATAACGCTGAGTGACCTTTCATCCTGCTTACGCAGCGGCCAGGTTTCTGACGCATACGTTAGGGCAGCAAGTAACGTTCAATTAAAAAGGTTGGCACGGAGTCGGGTGTTCTTTGTTCTCTTCACTACATCCTCGATGCTCCTATAAGCTCTCCGAGCCGCTCGTTTCCTTCTGCTCAGCTCTGGAGCTAGGTCGTTCATCATATTGATTTCCCAGCCTAGATAGATATAACTGGAGCATTCGGACATATTCGTTCCGTTGTGAGTGAATGGGAGATGCGAAACCAATCCGTTCTTCATGAACATCGTTTTTGTGAGATTTAGTCAGAGACCAATCTTTCCACAGGCTTTATCAAAGTCGGCAAGCATACGTTCCACTTGGCTAATGCTTGGTGTTATAAGGACGGTGTCGTCAGCAAAGTGAAGATGCTGTAACTGCCGACCATCGATTTTCACTCCCATATTATCCCATCCCAATGTTCACATGACGTTCTGGAGGGTGGTAGTAAATAATTTGGGCGAGATGGTATCGCCTTTCCTAACTCCTTTTTTAACGTCATTGTTAATATCGTTGTAGAGTGGTTATACCTTGGTTGTGAAATTTTTGTACAGCTCACGAAGAACCTTTATGTACTGAGTAGGGAGTCATTAAGACTATTAAGGGCTTCCAAGACTGCTCCTATTTCAACTAAATCAAAGGTCTTCTGCAAATCGATGAAAGTGAGACACAGCGGTCTTTTGTACTCTCGCGATACTTCAATGAGCCGTGTTACGGTGTGGATGTGGTCCATCGGACTAAATCCTTTTCGAAACCCAGCTTGCTAACATGGATGTCCTTCGTCTAGTGTTCTGTCAATCCTGTTTAGGATGACTCGAGCGAAAAGTGTGTAGACGACAGACAGTGAGCAGATTGGGCGATAGTTACTGATATCGTGTAGGTCGCCCTTCTCGAACAACAACACGGTCTTGCTAGCCTTCGACTGACTAGGGACCTTGCATTCAGACAGGCAACGTGTGAAGAGCCGAACCAGTGCGTTTACGAGGACTGGCAGAAGGTTCTTCAAGTGTCCAGATCTTATCCGATATGGACCTGGTGCTGTTCGATTTTTCATTGACGAAATGGTATGTCGGATTTCGGGTGGGAGAACCGCTGGTACAATATATCCATTCTCCTTTACTTCATGTGACAAAAGATGGACGTGGCTATCGAAGAGATCTAAGTAGTATTCGTGAATGATTCGTGAATGACTTCATTGCCTTTCTAGATGCTGCTACTGTTCTGTCTGTGCGTCGGAGTGCAATCACCTTGGTCTTGTAACTGGCGAAGCCTCGCTGGGCTTTGCGAATGCTTTTCGCAGCCTCTGTAGCGTCGGCCATTACTGCTTCTCTCTCTAAGATCTTCTTTTATCGCCTGCCTGCATTGTTTTGCAAGTTCGGTCGTTAGTTTGCGGTTGCCTGCGGCTCTTGCGATTCCATGCCGGCGTATCAGCTCGAGTGCTTCTGGAAACAAACGTCTCTTGATGACTAGAATTCTCAGCTTTCATAGCGCTAACGTGAAGATGTTGAATGAGTCGATCGTATTCTTCGCCGATGTTATCGACAACGACATTTTCCTAACAGCTGACTAATGAACTGAATAAGTCCCAAAGTGCGGTGGTTCTCGGACTTCGGTTTTAGAATTTAGCGGCTTTTTCTCCATTCCGCAAGAAATAGAATCTTGTACGAAGGAAACGATGGTCTGATCCCGTGTAGAACTTGGGACAACAACGACATCGGCTTGGTAAAACCCTCTAGTTACTATGATGTGGTCTACTTCGTCATGTTACTCTCCATTGAGAGACTCCCACGTCCAGCGCTGAGGGTTGGGCTTCTGGAATTGCGAATTACCATGGATTGTCCTGGTCGCCTTGATAAACTCAGACAGCCGCTCACTCTGTTCGTTCCGTTCTAATCAGTGGGTCCCAATGTAACGTTCTTCAGATGTTCTTCTTGGTCCAGTCTTGGCATTGAAATCTCCAATGATGAGCTTGAACACAATGTGGTTTTCTCTGTAGAACTTCTCCAAGTCCATATAGCACGCTTCGACTTCTTCTTCGTCATAGTTTAATGTCGGCGCGTAAACGATGAAAATTGTCAAAGCCGGTATTGATCCACATCTTTCTAATCGTAAACGTCCGATTAGGGTTGTGAGTTCTTCAAATGAATCGATGTTCATGGACAAACTCGTGTTGACGAGAACGCCGACGCCGCCGACTCCTCTACTGTTCCATGTTCCGAGGAACAGTTCTTCTCCGATTTCATAGATGGCGTTGAAAGACTGGCTTCTTCTCGTCTCGGCCAGGCCGATGACATCGTACCTTATCCTTCTTGCTTGCATGAGCAAGTCTTCTATTGAGGACTTGGCTGCAAGTGTACGTGCATTGTAGGTGCAAATCGTCACCATAGTTCCTTGAAATCCAGGCAGCTTCCATTGGCCCTGAGATTTTAGGAGTCTCTTCGTACTCGTCCTACCCAACGTTGCGAAATTGGGGGCTTTCGGGGTCAGGGAATGAGGCCCGTTTTTTTCCCTGCGTTTAACATTCTGGCAACCACGTATAGTTTGCCGGGCTCTGAATGTGGGGGCTGGCTATACTCACTTGTAGCTTGCGAGGCTTTCCCAGAGTGGACATGGAGCTTATTTGTTGGAGGCGACTCCTAACCGCCTCCCGTATGCTTCCCAGTCACTTGGTTGCAGGCTTTCGGCGGAATTGACTCGTATAATACAATCCGCGTAAGCAAGAACGCACCCTCGCACGCATGTATGAATACCGCCTAGCAAATACAGAAAGTATGGGCCAAATCAGCGCAGCAGAAACAGGGAGTCCTTCTCCTGGATCCGCCTGCGTCTCAGGGAAGCAAAGGTCGCTTTTGGTCCGCGATTAACCCCCTATCCGCCACCTGGGGACGCACCATGTAGCCTCGCGACTAACCGGCTCGAGATGCCTCATAGGAGAAAGATCCGTGGCCGCAATAATAAATCATATCATAAATTTGTCGCTGGATACTTCAACGCCAGAATAGGAAAGGCCAACGAGAATGAATACAGGATCGGAAATTTTGGATTAGGTGAAATAAATGAGAATGGAAACCGTCTCGCAGGACTTCTGTCAGCAGCACGCCTCTTCCATGGAAACTCGTTTTTCCAGAAGAAAGAAAGCCGCCACTGGACATGGGAGTCTTCCAATGGCATGACTCATGCGGAAATCGACCACATTCTGACGAACAGAAGATGGTGCCTACTTAACACATCGGTAGTCCCGTCATTCTGTATTGGTTCCGATCACCGCCTTTTTCGGGCGAAGATTCGACTCAGCAGCAAATTGAGAAAGCACTCTCTTCATCGACCGCGAGGAAAAAGTCTAGCTGTATACGACGAGAACATTCTGAACGAAGTCCTGTCCAAAGGTGACTGGCAGATTAAAGAAGACCCGACCGAAAACTACGAGCTGCTTGTCGAAGGACTGGAAGAACTGTGCCAAATTCGCCTCAGTTCTTCATGCAAAAAGATCGAATTGCATCTTCATTAATACTAAGCAGTTGCTCGAAAAAAGATGGAAACTGAAGCTTGCTCCTACTGCAACACGTTTAACATGGCTAGTAATAAATGCTAGTTGCAAAAGAGCTTTGAAGGAAGATCTACAACAGCACAAGCAGAAGAAACTGCTGGAAGCAACAGAGAAAAGAAGCAGTTTGAAAAAATGCCGTCAGGACTTGTGTGATTACAATGTTCCGCCATCAGCCTTGATGAACGAAGATGGGATCTTAACCTTTTTATTTACTGCCTATTCTTTTTTTAAAGGCAGAGTATTTTGCGAAATATAACTACTATAATGCTGAGATATTTGCAAAACTCCGGACCTGAGGTGTCTAAGGCGGGGAACGAACGCGCTATTGTCCTTTCCGGATAATGGCAAAAGATCGATAGAACTAGCTGAGTGACAGGCGAAACGAAGGACCAGCATGGTGTGGTGGTAAACGCGTTACTCCTCGGAAAGGACAACAGCGCGTTCGTTCCTCGCCTTAGACGCTTGCGGTCCGGAGTTTTGCAAATATCTCAGCATTATAGAAGGTGGGATCGCCAAACTTCTCGCCATGATATGGAATTAATAGTGGAAACGTTCTACACCAACCTTTTCCATTCAACAATCGCCGTCCCGCGCCCTAATATGCCTGCTGGAAAAAAACCACCTGGAATTCTTCCGTCAGAGGTTCGAGTTACGATAGAAAGCATGAAAACAGGCACAGCTCCAAGACCCGATAATATCACTGCCAATTTCCTTAGCGCTGGAAGCCACAATTTACATGTAGTTCTCGCAGATCATATGACAGACTACGTTCAAAGGGAAAAAATCCCAGACCAGTGGAGGACGTCACGCACGCTCATCCTGCTCAAGAAAGGAGACCGAAGGGATCTTCGTAACTATTGTCCCATATGCTTGCTAAGTGTGCTCTACAAGCTCTTCACGAAGATTATTCTCTCGGGCATATCAATGGCATTGGATGAGGCGCAACCAGTCGAGCAAGCAGAATTTTGAAAAGGATTTTGCTGCATGGACCACATCCAAGCCGCGTCCAGGGTCATCGAAGCTTGTCGGGAATACCATTTGCCTCTAGTCCTAACCTTTGTCGGCTATGAGAAAGCGTTTGACAGTGTTGAAGTGAATGCAATCCTATCAGGGCTCGTTGACCAAGGAGTGGATCCTTCTTACATAAGGACTCTGACCGACTGTTATCGGAACTGCACTACGAAAATGCAGCTTTTCCATCGACCTCTTACAATACCCATAGGAAAAAAGTTTCGACAGGGCGACACAATATCGCCAAAGCTGTTCAGTACCGCACTGCGGTGGATAATGAAGTCACTCGATTGGGATGAGAAAGGCATACGTATTGATGGAAAATTCCTATCAAGTCTTAGTTTTGCCAACGACATTGTCATTTTCTCAAAAAGTACTAGCGAAGCAGAGGTGATGCTCAACGAGCTCAACGAAGCGGAGAAAAAGATCGGACATCGCATAAATCAAAAGAAGACCCAGTTCATGAAAAACTCATGGTGCGAAGGCGAAAAAATTGAATTGGGTGGCCCTCTCATTGCAGAGACCACCTCGTACGTTTACCATGGGCGATCAATGAGCATAGAAAACAACATGAAAGAGGAACTAGATAGGAGAGCAGCTTGGGACGCATTCGGGCCTCTCAAAGAAGCCACCGACCAACTGAAGGGCCTAAAAATCCGCGCTCTCGAAATCTGTCACATCTTCGAGATCTAGGAGAATATACATCGACAGCGAAACATATATGTGCCGGTCACATAATGAGAAGAACAGACGACAGATGGACAAAAAGAACAGTAGAGTGGACTCCAAGAGAATGCAAACGTCCCCTTGGACGACAACCTACACGTTGTGCGGACGTGTTCGTAAACAAAGTTAATCAGCAGTACCCGCAGCTGCAGTTGTTTTACAGGTCACGTTATGAGACTCGCAAGCGCTACCATGCTCGAACAAGACCACCGCCATGGACTACGATTGCGAGAGGAAGGAAGGAATGGCATACGTGCTGGGGTCCGCACAGCTCGTGAAGACAAACCGTCCATGTATCTAAGTAAGTATCCAAGTTATAATATTATAGATCAATTTAGAAATTTAGTTGACTTCCCAATCTCCTCTTCAAATAACGCAGTTCCAATATTACAATTTGACTTGTACTCTATCTAGTAAGCAGATTGCTTTTTCCTAAAGTCCCATCACGGTTGTTTCAGTTACAATCATGGTACGATTCTGCTTTGTTTTCTTGCAACTTGGATGTACCGGCTCCGAGCAATGTATGTACTCTTTGCTATGCTGGATTCATCTGGCATGAACAACTCTTTTAGAAAACAGATAAGACGGTAAACCATGTAGGATCCCCCTTCAAGCATGTAAGGATTTTTAAAACAGAATGAGAACACATTAAACTGTTTTAGCATCAAAATTTGACAAAGTCATGAACACTCACCAAGGCATTCAGCGACGAATCTCGAAATTTCGTTCACTCCAATAAGTCGAGTGCTCTCGTTCACGATCAGCACCGGCAGTTTGGCATCGTCTTGAAATCCATCTAAGAGATCACATAGGATGGAAACTGTCATATGTTGAATAAGTTAGCTGAAGAACAAGAAAAAATCCAACAAATATGTTTAGATCACTAAAAACAACTAAACTGGCTACAAGTGTTTTCTAGTAGATTCTAGTAAATTCCGTGCATTATTGCAATGAACTAAGGTCTTACCACATATAATATGTGGTGAACCTCTTTCCAAAAACCCTATGCCATCTTTACAACTATCTACGGTCCCCATATCGGATATGTTATTGGTTGCCCAATCTCAGTTTGTAACATCGACGTCCACTTTGGGTTCGACTGTCCCATTTTATATATAGAAGGAGCAAAAAAAAATTGCGTTCTACGAATGCCAAAAAACTTAAAAGAAGTTTTTTCCTTGATAAGTGGGGATAAAAATAACCTTTTCTTTTCTTCTCTTTCCATTCAAAGATTGTCAATCTCGTGTCGATGAATTTTCGTCCAGCAAATGTGAGCATCAATCTCACACCCTCAACGCGTCCACGTCCTTTTAGAGAGATCAGTTCGAGTCTGTCGCTCATTTATCTATAATTATTTAAGCATTTTGCAGTACCAAAGTAATGGGTTATCCAACAAGTTAGTAGTAGTTGGAACATCGATTTTACCAACGAAAATTACTGGTCGAATAGCACCTATATCTCCGTGGTGGCCTTATTTTTCTTATTCATTGTCAATCTGGAATTTTTCTTTGACTAACTAACAACATTACGAGCCACATATGACCCACATAAGTTATTCTATTGACCTATTTATCGTCATTTATTGGGCGAAAGAAGTGTGGTGCTGAGATATACGGCGCAATATGGTTGCTGGTTCGATACCGCTCGGGCCAAGTGAGCCTTCCATTTCTCTCTATCCGTTTAAACTGGTGCCAGACTTTTCTGGGAGGAGCTATCGGCGATCCACAAAGGTCGCTTTTGCTAAGGAGCTGGGAACACTTTAGCAGAGCTCTCCCAAGATTCCCAAGAGCATCAACTCGATTAGAATTCAATGACATTCATAAAGATCATATAATCTTCACCTGGCAGTAAAATCCATACGCAGATCCGAAAGATATTAGACCTAGAGTTTGGTGGATTCGAGGGAGCGAATAGAGTAGAAGAATTGTTAGAATCCTCACAATATGTGAAATTGTGTGACACAAATAATGAAAGACATAAAAAATTATGTATATACCACCAGAGGGTACTTAGATGGCCGTCCTCGCGAAGATTGCCAACATAAGCACTATAATATTTTACTGAAGATCATCGAAAAGGATACGATTTCTCCATTGGAGTTTTGAGACAACATAGTAGAGCGTCTCCAGGCTTTATAAAAGAATGGTGTGTTGTCGTTGAAAGCATTAATCTTCGCTGCAATGAAAGTTGGCTGTAATACCCCGAAAATAACAACAAGTATGCTGGAATATGAGCAAAACTCGGAACTTCAGACGGGCTTCGAACACGTGACTTCTCTTACTGACGAATCATGTGCCCTAGAAAAGTGTAGGCAAAAATAAAGCCTAAAACACTTCTATATAACACACCCATAAAACTTTGTGTCAAATCGATGTGAAGATCATAAACCACAAGAATCCAAAGCACACCCACTCTTGGAATTCGGTGTCGATCAGTCTGTTAGCGCCACATAGCACTTCCAACTCTATGAGGCATCGTAGGGATGATTGAATGCACATTTGGATTGTACAGTGACCTATGAAAATTGAGCCATGATCTATCAAGCCAGTATTTCCTACAACCCCACAAGAGTTCTGAGTTTGCTCATATATCAGTATCCTTGTGGTTGCATTTCAATTCATACCCTGCCATGAAGAAAGAATAGGCAGTAAATAAAAGCCAAAACATTGTGAGTCCGAACCTAGTTTGGCTGAAACAGAGGTGACTTTGGTGTGAGTAATGCCCATCGGTTTTTCGGACTTACTTGACTAAATTTGCGATATAAAGAGTCGAAATATGTAGCATTAGAAAAAGTCGACCCCCCCCATGACCCCAAGCAAAGCGGCTAAAATTAGTCAATTACTGCATGAGGTTCGTTTCTTGATCGGCGTTGCTTTGAAGATATTTGACATCGCAATGTAATCACTTTTTGTTTACTGCCTATCCTTTTTTCATGGCAGGGCAAACACAACTAGAGTGATGTTGAGATATTTGAAAAACTCCAAAGCGCAAGTGTCTGTGGCGGAGATTGAACCGAATTCTTACCATTTCCGGTGGCTAACGTGTTAGAAAGAAAGAAGCTAAAATTTGGTTCTCTATAGCAGAATAGTTTCTTTCAAGTATGTGGAATCGAGGAATCTCTGGATTTACCGGGACGACAAGTAAGCAACTTTTTATAAGCAAAACAACAGCAGAATCTAATGCGTGATAAAAATTTATTTCTAGAGCTAAGAACAATAGTAAGACAATTATTTTTAGGACCTATTGTTGAAATCTGACTACTATCATGTTGAGATATTTGCAAAATTCCAGACCGCAGGTGACTGCGGTGGGGAACGAACGTGCTATTATCCTTTCCGTTGAGTAACGCCTACACCACCACACCATGTGGGTCCTTCGTTTCGCCTCTCTCTCAGCTAGGTCTAGAGTTTTGCAAATATCCCAGCATTATAGAAGCTATATTTCGCAACACACCGTGCCATTAAAAAGAATTGGCAGTAAATAAAAAGGTTAAGATTGTGATTACAACTACATAGCCTCAGCTTAACTGGGTTCAATGCCGATTTGGGCTCTCCAGATCAATCCCGTTGACGAGTGATTGCTGATGGCAGTGATGGATAGAACTAGCTGAGAGACAGGTGAAACAAAAGATCCACATGGTGTGGTGGTGTAGGCGTTACTCAACGGCAGGGATAATAGCGCGTTCGTTCCCCGCCGCAGACACCTGCGGTCCGGAGTTTTGCAAATATCTCAGCATTATAGAAGTTATATTTCGCAATATTGTTTAAATCGTCAGGTCCAAACTTTATCCTTTTATCTGGTGTCCCTTATTTATAACTCCGAAGAGAAGAAATCTTTTAAAGACTAGGTTATACATTTTCCCTCACGAATAGAACAAAATTAAGGTTATAAATTATTTTCATGATACTCCACTGGTATGTTTTCCTTCGTTCATCAGTAGCAGTTCAAATATTTAGCACAATGTAGAAAGTACTTAAGTGAACTATTCTAAAATTATTGCTTTAAATAGAAAATGACTACGGTAGTGATCGAGAATCAGTAATGCGTGGAGTCTGAACGCGTTCTCCGATGAAATGGTCACATATGCAAATCAGGTAACCGTAAAATCTTCCCGTCGAAATGGATTCAATTTTTCGATCAAAAAAAGGACACTGTTATGCCACTACTTTATACAACACATTTTTTTCCGGGAAGAAAAAACAAAAAGAGAAACGGTGAGATTTTCTCTGTTCCTTTTCCATTCTCTTCTTCTCAGAAAATTACGGTATCGATGATAAGGTACCATTGATTTTTTTTCGCTCTCTTCCATGACTTTCACTTAATACTTGGGAGAAATCCCGACTAGAGGCTCAAATTAGCCGTTTCTAGGCCCTATTTTACAAATTTGTGCCCGATTTTTCCTTTTCTTAGAAGATTTAGTATATTAAAATTACTAGCACCAAGAAAAAATAACAGCAAGGAAGCGACCACACAGTTGACTGTTCAATAGGAAATGAGCGAAATAAGGAAGAACGAATGGGAGAGGAATGATGAAATGTGTGAGATTTATGAGTTGAAGGCAGTTGGTACTGGATTTCATGCTATAGGGTTTTCACTGCTGTTCCACTGCGGTTCAACAGGTTTTTAGTAAATGTTTCGAGGCCCTACCTAGAGTACTGCATAGATAAACCAAAAATCAATGGATACGGTATTTAAAATGAAACAGCGCAGTAAGGGGACATGAACTGGGTTAATTAACGAGAGAAATGAGGCTGTGCTGAGCTTTTTTCCCAATGTTTCTCTAGAAATCAGATATAATACGGGTTTGAAAACGAATATACGGATGGTAAGAGAGAATTTCATTATTCCAGAGCGCTGAAGTTTAGATTTGTATCAAATGACATTCTAACGAACGAAGATGCCTCTCGCCGATATCGTCGGCGATTGAGCGACGACGACTTCAGCCAGTCAGCCAACGAGAGCAAACCACTTAACACAAGCGTCCACTAAATAAGACGACAGTGACGAAAGCAGGTTTGATGTAAATATTGGATGAACGCCCAGAAAATGGAAACTACACACTTGACTATGAGATCGTAAAAGTCCAGATTTTCTAATGTTTCAGTTTGCTTGAAGACGGGATTTTATTTATAACGAAAACTTGGCGAAGAGCTCGAATGCACTGAAGCGGAGCCACAGCGAAGTGCGAATCAGAGGGACAATGACAGAAGCAGAGAAAGATGGAGAGAGAAAGAGTTAGAGATATACGAAGAAAGAGATAGAGAGAAGGACGGAGAGGAATAGGAAAACGGAAAATACCTGCAAACATTGCTTTATAGCACTACGAAGCCATAGATTTTAACTGGAATGACAACAGATGATTCAGTAGAAGTCGTTGTAATAAAAACAAACGCTGTTGACGATATACTGAAGTGGAGATAAAGTTGAAGAGATAATCGTAAAGAATAAAGGAAAGAAAAAGGAACAGAAAAGATTGGAGGAAGGCTCGAAAAACTAAGTAAGCTTTTCTTTTCTGAGGTACAAACCAGATGTCTTTGTAGAATTTGGATTGATAAGCTCGTAACCTAAATAACGTTTATGGAAGGGCTTTCTCAAAAGGTCAGAATTAAGGTTTTTGGTAAAATTTAGTCCTATCGACTGCCATTCTTAACCTTATTATCGATCGATCTTGCTATCGTTGGACTTACAATTTCCGATCCAATCAATAAAGAGAACTTTATCACATTTCATTCCACTCTCTCGTATAGGTAGCGGAACCGAAGTAGTGGATACCATAGATCTACATTTTATGACAACTGCGTGATTCTACAATATTTTGAACTAAGTGGAAAACGGTCCATAAACCGACTTATTTTAATCAATACGTATAACATAGATGACTATTACCATGCACATGCCGTCGTCATTTTTCGAAAGTCGTTTTCGCAGAAAAGATCGCAGCAGTAGGAACAAAAATAACCCGGAAAATTTCAATGAAATAAGAAAATTCTAGAAAATCGACTAGGAATTCTAATAAAAGGATGGATCCCTAATAATTAAGGAACAGCGCCAGAGACGTGTGGGTGGGAGGAACGACAGCACGCGACAAATTTATTCAGGTGCTTGGCTGTTGCTAAACGTTTCATATGCATTTTATGGGAGCTTTTATATCTGCAAAGTGGAAAGTTACAGCAAAAACAGTTCTCTATCTAAAACGAAGTAGTACGAGTTAAGAGTTGACAACTTTTCTCGAAATATTTTTCTCTCGAGCACCGATATATAGAGAATCTCAGGTTTAGAAATGGTTACTCATCTTAAATACTTATCACATAAACGATCCAAGATTATGAAAAGACTTTTTA